GTGTTGGACCATTGTTCGGAAGGATTGAGCAAGAAAGTCCAGTTGTAGTGTTCAGCGCTTTGCAAGAGATTCCAGATGGAGAAAGATGAACCGACTCGACGGCGGCGACTGATGATCGAAAGATTTTCGCAGGTTCAGTGGACATCACAGAGACACTGGGAATGATTGTTGACCTGAGACGCCAGATCCAGCAGGACTACCAGATATAGTTGAGACTCAATTCTGTTTTGACACATGGGAGAGATGACACATACCATGGCGTACCATGGGAATTTTTATCCAAGGAGTCGTGCAGAGATATTGGCATCACTCTGACGTACCCCATAATCCATACGATGTGTTATTTTTGGGGATGATACCACATGATTTGGCTTAACTAGACAGTATAAAAGTGATGAACGTTCACAATCTTGGTTCACAGTCTCTGAAAGTATTAAGCTTCCGCACTCACTATGGGTCTGACATCACTTGGAAAGAAGGCTTGAAGAGCTCGCAAACCAAGGTCAAGGCCAAGGCCAAGAATGACTTTAGCCATTGACTGCACGGGCGTTAGAAGGAAGCGGCTGGATCAGGACAGGACTTTGTGCAGAACATCTTGTATCAAGGAAGAACGCTGGGCAGAAGCAAGCGGCAATGTCCGTTCCGCAGGGCAGCGCTAAATACCTTAATAGTACTATTCAGAAGTACTGATGATAGATCCTTGTGGAGGCCGCAGCGATGGCGGAAAACTCCAAGGCCGCGAATGGCGGAAAACTCCCTCCCAGCTACAGTATGCACCTTTGAGCTGGAAGCATTTTACGGATCTAATCGTTCTTTCTAACAGCGTGTCGGAAGCAGTTTGCAGATACCATTTCTTTCATCTCGGATTGGAGCGTAGTAGACAAAGATTACAACCGACGTTTTGATAATGTTCCTTTTGAGTGCCGCCCGGCCTGGTTTGGCCTGATATCTGCAATGCTGAGCTTGCCGAAAAGTAGATGTCATGGTAAAACTCTCAGAAACTGTTGTATAATAGTGAGTTACATTAGCTCTTGCTGACTTCCAAGATACTCACAAGCCGGTCATAATATCAGTTCCTCCAACCCTATCTAAATGAAGAAATGAGTGAATAACTGCGTTAATTTTACGAGTACCTACTCTTCAGCAAGCCAGGCCATCGCAGCTTGGGATGCTAAGCAGGTCGGGCGAACCTTATGAAAATGGCTGTACATACATGGACGCCCTCCTACGACTGTCATATCCAGAATCCCTGTCAACATCCAGATTGTTGGCGTGGAAGTATGGATATGGACATGGATGGGCGTTACGGCAGAGCCATTCAATTTTATGCACCGCGAATTGCCGCAGAGAGTCGAAACAGGCGGTGAGCGTTAGACTATATCAGGTGGTTATCCATTTTCAAGCCTGACGGATGGGATTAGAATGTCAACACCATATGCTATTCAGAATCATTTGTTCGGGTTATCGGCTCCTGTGCTCACAAGTGCCAGTCGTAATATCAAATTCTTCAACTCTCTCGAGAGGGAGAAAGTAGACAAATAACTGCGCTAATTGTAGACGAAAAGCTCCAGCTAAACAGGTCAGGCGGAACCTAACGTGATGAAAATAGCTGTACATACATAGACGCGCTAGGCATAGGCCTGTCATATCCAGACTCACTGTCAACATCCAGATTGTTGGCGTGGAAGTATGGATAATGGATATGGATATGGATGGACGTTACGGCAGAGCCACTTGATTTTATGCGCCGCGAATCGCCGCAGAGAGTCGAAACAGACGGTCAGCGTAGACTATATCAGGTAGTTATCCATTTTCAAGCCTGACGTGTGGGATTAGAATGGCAAAGAATGTATCTTGTTTCAACTTGTTCACAATATGTTATTCAGAATCATTTGTTCGGTTATCGGCTCCTGAATTCTCCTCTCACGCCAATCTCACGCCGATCTCTTTCACTCGCGTTCGTCACAATTTGTCAAGATCATCCTAGCGATCGTCTATATCTGATGTAGACGCTACATACGCGATGTCCGCCACCGTATACACGCTCCCCATACCCCTCATCCTCCTTATCCATCTACACATCCTCGTATACCCGCATGCCAACAAACCCGAATACGACCATAACATCTTCGATCCGCGCGTGCGCGGGCTCAAAGAACGAACGAAAATTCTCGAGGATGTCGCGTATTTTCTAGTCGGAAGGCTCGAGGGGAACGCGAGAACTGTGAGTGCCTTTTGTGTGCGGCTCTCGGTCGGCCCTCGGTGGCATGCTGATGGTAGTACTTAGATCCTAGCGACCTACCCGTGTCTCGTCCCATCTGACACAGTCGCGTTCCGGACGTCGCTGTCAAAGTATGTAGAGGCGCTACGGCATAGCTCGATATATCCTAGCACATCAAAAGCCCCCGCTGGCACCACCAAGTCGAAAGGCAACGCGAAAGAGCATGCGCATACGAAGACTGAGTCGGATGTGGGCTCAGGCGCGTGGTGGTGGAAAGACGTTGTCGTGCGCAAGTCGTTGTTGGAAGAGTGTGCAGGCGAAAGGTATGTTCACGCTTCTCTTTTCTCGTTGCAACGTCGAACTGAGAGTGAGCGTAAATTTCGATTAGATTCGAACGTCTGATACTCTCTCTATCCACACACGCCCTCTTCAAAGCTTCCGCGACAAACCTGAACGTATGTACGCTCCTCCTTCTCCATAAATAAAAACTACTACCAAACGCTTAATACACAGGAACCCCTCTGCACCCACCCAAACATCTACACCGCCCTCCTCACACAATCCACATACTCACGCCGCACATGGGCTCACTCCGCGTCTACACTTCTCAAGCGCGAGGCGGAGCTCAACTCTCTCAAAGTACATCTTCCCTTGTCTTACGCATGCTTATGCTGACCACTACACGAAGGACCACCTCATCACCGCCTCATCGTCCCCACGCTCCTCAAAATACACCAATATCCCCACACCGCGCCTCATCGCGCTCGTCGAATCCACATACGCGGGCTTGGTTAGTACACGCATGCATGGGGCGTGGGCTGGGGAACGAGGAAAGGAGGCCCTGGATTTTGTCATAAAGGCTGCGGGCGTTGAGTGGCCTGTTCCGATTCGAGTCCAGGGTGTGACAGCCGACACACTCGACGTATGGCCGCAACCACAGGCGCAGCCGCTACTCCAGCCGCAACCGCAACCGCTGCCCATAGCAGCAGCACACCACCCCACACATTTACACAAACTTCGCAGACCGCTCTTCCCGCGCTCCACCCGACGTACAAATGACACCACATCATCTACATCGCACGCGCCCACCCCTGCCCCGGTTCTGGTGCTGGACGAGCTAGAGGTCTCGCAGACACGCGCACGAAAGCTGCGAGATGCGTTGCTGAGAGTGCAGGGTGTTAAGCGGGCGAATGAGTCTGAGGCGAGGAGGAAGGTGGATATGAGGGCGAAGGCGAAAGCCGTCCGTGGGTCGAAGAAGAAGATGCCTCAGGCTTTCGTGCTGGATTTGTGGGAGCCTGAATCTGTCGGTGATAGTGTAGATTTCGAGGTTCGTTTTCTATAAGTATACGTCTTCATTCACATTCATTATAACAACCGCAACACAGACGAAACCGACGCCTGAGCTCCTCGCTTCGTTCGGTCTCTCCCTGCACGCCTCGCCAGACCAAGATTACAAAAGAGACCGGGGGCTTGAAGCACGGATCGATGAGATTCGCGAGAGGATGTTGACAAAGTATCCGGAGACGGTTGATCTTGGTGCGCCGCGAATTCCGCATTTCGAGATCGAGGTCAAGGGAGAAGTGGATAAGGAGAAGGAAAAGGAGAAGAGGGGCTATACCGATCTGAAGATTCCGCGTGGTGCGCCGCGAAGAACAGTACTCACTCCCACGACGTCGACATCAGATGCAGGTAGACCTCGGGGTGTGGGTACTACGAAGAACGACAACGAGAATAAAAACAAGAACGTGGAATTACGGACGGGGGTGGAGAAGCGGAAAGGGGATATGGGATATGAGCAGGGGCAGAAGCAGAAGCAGAGCACGAGGAAATCGATAAGAGTATCGCTCGTTGCATGTGCACAGCGCCGGCCTGAGCTTTTTGCTCCAACCCCCTCCCACCACCAAGATGCAGATAAAGATGAGGACGTGTATGAGATGATCCATAGTATCGCGGATACCTCAACGGAGCACGAGTGTGGCGCTGACGACGACGGACCTCTTATCAACACTAACGCTAACAACAATATTCAGGAAAAAAACAAAAACAAGGACGCGGTGCCACCGAACGCCAAGAAGGTAAAAGTGAACCGGATATTCACAGGCTCGAGAACACGAACACAAACACACGGCGCCCGTCCGCCGAAGGAGTCGTTCCTGGGTGTGTTTGGCGAGCCTGTTGTATCGCTCCCGTCGCTTGATGGGCATGGGTTTAAGGAAGTGTCTGGGGGTGAAGAGGGGGGATGTAGAGAGAGCAGGGATGGGGATGGGGACGGAGAAGGAGAGTACGCAGGCGATGAGGGGAGCATGACATTAAGAGATATTTTATTGAGTGCGGATTTGACGGGGTTTGCGTTATTAGATGAGGGTGAGTATCTTGTGGGTTTGTTAATAGTTGTGGATGGTTTTGGTGACTGACGGGTGTTTTGATTAGGTGGGGAGGTGGGAGGTGAGGATGGGGATGGGTCGTTTGAATGGGAGTGAGTTGATGTGGGGGGATTTGGGGTGGTGTTCAAGTTTGATGAGATTTTGGATAGAGGAAGGCTTGAGGGCATTTTGGGAGTTACCGGGGTTAATTTGCTGGAACCATTTCTCGAACAGTGTTTCTCATCGTAAGAAACAGATATTAGAACTGTAGACAAACAATATATCTTAATATGTAGCGAGTATGACTTAGGATTATATGTTCGCAACCAAATCAGTGAGAGTATTAAAATCAGGAAGGACAGGACGCAGGAGGGGAAAATAAGTTGGGAAGAAAAACAAACGAGAATCCAAGCAATAGCCCACCGCGAGGGTCGAACTCGCAGCCTTCAGATTTAAGTTTGTCGAATATACATTCACTTAAAAGTCTGACGCTCTGGCCGATTGAGCTAGGCGGGCCTCAGGGACTTGATCCAAATGGTGGTGTACTACTATTATAGTAGTTAGTTCTATAAGAATCATGGTGTGTAAGTTCAAATCTATCTTTAGAACTACGAAGTTGGTTCCTTCTGTTGTGGTTATGTCAATGGCAGAGGCAAGACATGACACTAGCAAGCGTGACGATCAGGCAAGCACCTATGCATACTTAATACCAAGGCCCAGAATGACAATAACTGTTGTAGATCAAGTATCTTGAATCGCAGCTACAAGCGTATAAAGCCAGGACGTCACTCCTCCAACAGGAACATTTGTCATCGCTTGACACCCTCAACGAAATCAGACAGCGCTACGAGGAGGAGCTGGAACAAGCGCTCCATGCTAGGAACGTAGCACAGTCCAGATTACAGAAAGTCAGGGACCAGCTGAGGGGAGCGGAGACGGAAAGAGACGAGTATAGGGAAGTGGTACTCAGACTCATCACAAAAGGTGCGCTCTTCTGTCTTATTTCTCCCGCTGAGCATGTGAACCAATCTGGCAGATTGCGTCTAGTAGAGCGAAGCCATGGCGACTTCAAACACTGGCCTTACAGCAAGCTCCAGCTCTCGAACCATGTGGGTACGTCTTGTTCCCCATGAGGGCCGGTCGTTCACTGAATAACGAACAGACTTGCTTAGGGAGCAATGCATTGTGGATGATCCCAGAAGTGAACACGCGTCACAATGTGCTGATGGACTTGTCCATTTTCTCAAACGCGAACTCTACCATGAACGCAAGGCCCATGCATTGACGCGCGCGCGCGTCAATATTCTCTCTGCACAAGTCGCGAGTCGTGATGCCGCGCTAGAAGAAAGGGTCCAGCACGCTGGCAGTCCATTCGCCCCTTCAACTAGTGGAATTCATGTGCATGGCAAGGGCAAGGGCAAGTCAAATATACCACCAGATTTGGATAGCTCGGAAATTTCGGCTTTGTATGATCAGACGACTGCCAAAAACAGGATTCTAGAGCAGGAGATACTCTCACTTTTTCGATATGTACGTTGTCTTTCTCTAATCGAGCGAATTATTGCCTTCATCTCAATTTATCCAGGTGGAGACGCTACAAAGAGCGACTGGGCCTGTCCAGCGCCCGACATCACCGACATCCTCGTCCCAGGCAATTCACCTTTCTAACGATCATCCCGCATATCCAGTGCCTTCATCCAGCACCATAGAGTTCGATAGACATCCTTCTCAGCCAGCCCTTCTCACTACCAGCCCCAAATCCAGCCGCCAATCCAGTCATCTATCACATGTCTCTCCGAGTCCCCATCGAGGGCGCTTATTATACACTCCCGATCAACCACTCGCCATAACATCGAAATCACAATCTCGCACACGTTCACAATCTCATGATCATATCTCGACACCAAGATCATCTTCGTTGACCGCTTCTCCCCCTGCGAACATCGTTCAGGACCTCACCGAGCAAGTCCGTCTCTTGTCGATACAGATTGATGGTCTTCGGACCGAGCGTGTCGCCCTTTCTCGCGTTATTCAGTCGCAAAGAGAAGAAGTGACTGTCACCCCAGATTTACTCCGCAGAGATTCCTCGTTCGACTCTTCTGATACGGATGAGGACCAACCTTTCGTTGTGAATGCAGAGACTGATGTTGAACACGGAAGGGCTGTGGTCCTTGAAGAACATCCTAATGACGTTCCACTAGGTCATGATATTGGATTCGACGCTGTCGGAGATGGACGTAGTGATGGGGACGTTACAGAGGGTGGGGAACGTTCGATGGAGATTGCTACTCCCTTGATTTCTACCTTGGTCACCTTCCCAGATCCTTCTTCAGAGGGACAGGACGCGGCTGAGATGAGGGGAGAGCCAGAAATGGAAGAAGACGAAGGCGATGGACAGATAAAAATGGTTCGACCACCTAGGGGGGCTTCCGTATCTCCTCCGCCTGCCTGAATGAACTTACGGATTCACTTATACTCTTCCGCATGCGGCGCGAACAGATTCACGTAGACAAGGACGCGTCACCACTGCGACCATTTTGATTTTCCTTTATCAACACCTCTTCCGTCTTCAAGATGTGCCTTACCCCATAAACTCTGTTACGTCTTTCCGAGACCCAAAACCTCCGCTTTTAGACATCTGATAATGATATATTTTTCTCGTTCTGTGTTACCGTTTCATTCCTCAGGTGAGTTTATTGAACCTCTGATCAACGACCGAGCACCAATACAATTGGATTTTCCAGGCCAACATCGATCATGTACAACTGTTTATAATAGAACAAGGGATATACGGATATAGGTACTATTTCCTGGTATCTGTTGTCCCGTTCCATAGTCCAAATGATCAAGACCAATTTTGTATATACTCACAATGGCGATTCAAGTCCTGGATAGCCTCCGGGCATCAATGAGAACCGGGTTTTGACTAGAGTTTGGCAGTCTGATAAGGCTCTGGATACTCGGCAAGTTCGTGATTGTCCAAACTCTAGTGGTTTTGGCTTTGTATGTAATTGCAGGTACGACTGCCTCTCACTGGCAGATTGCTGTCGACTCTAACATCCCCTCCTGAAGTTAGTAGATGTTCCAGGCCCTATTGGACCTGTCGATGATGGTATGATCTAAATTCGAAAGGGAGAGGTGCTTAAGGGCAGCTTTTAGTCAGGACATTTAAAATGGTATTTCAGACAAACTTTGCGAATCGGAATGGTATTCGCAGTATTGCAAGCGAGTACTTCAAGGGATAGAAATATGGCCACTCCTCTGCACAAAAAGACAAAAACGATCAAGTAATACATAATAGCCCACCGCGAGGGTCGAACTCGCAGCCTTCAGATACCGACGCCTAGTAAGAGTCTGACGCTCTATCCGATTGAGCTAGGCGGGCGATGGTGAATAATTAACCCGTATTTGAGTGAGTCGTATCATTTAAAATGGGTTGTCTCACCTTGACCATACCTTGACCATTCTTGTGTTTTCTTGCGGCTTGCATGAATATCTCTTATTTCAGTGGGATTCACAATAGCAGGTTTCGTTGATGCAATGTCTATATTTTAAAGACATTAAGATTTGAATGTGAAACAATTGGAATAGATTGTTGTCAATTTGTTGAGTCAGCTTGTCCATGGCAAAAGGAGTACCAAACTCAGCTTGCAACTTCTTGAGTGTGCAGACAATTGAGAGGAATTCCTTATGATACACAGGATGATTGAGTTCAGGACCCTTGAAAGTCTGACTTTCATAAGTCACTGGGCATGCAGATCCCAAGTGTGTCCAAAGGATAGGACAGCTCCAGAACATAGGTCACTGGCATTGGTGGCCACAAAGATTGTCTTGGATGGATCTGAGTGGTAAATAGTCATTAGGCACTCTCATGAGAATGCATGCTGATAGTGAGCTATCCAACAAGGCAAAATGAGGTTGGACTCATGAGTTGTCAATTCATGTAGTACACCTGTGTGCTCTGCTAGGCATAGCAAGAACACATCAATTTCACAGACAAGACCCAGGAATGATCAAACCTCTCTTGCTGATGTTGTTGAACAGGTCATTGCTGAGGTCAGGAATGGTGAGTGAACAGCACAAGAATGAGTGTGTGATGCATGAGTGCAGCCACCTTTGAAGAGGCAAAATGAATGAAGTCTTAAGAAAAGGTGGTCATGTGGGGCCAATGCTGGCTTGACTCGGCCAGTGCAGGGACACAACAATAAGTGTATTGAGGGTAAAGAAAGGAAATTACAGGAGAAGCCATCAAGTATAGAAAGATGTTTGTATGTATTAGATTTGAAGGTGTCTGTGTAGCCTAGTTCCTTTAACAAATGTTGGCATCTGCCACACCAGGGTTTGCTCAACTCAGCTTCAATCCCCTCAGTGGAGATTGTGATGTCCAAGGAAATTGATTCTTGTAAGGTACAGATGGCATTTTTTCATGTCAATATACAAATGAGCTTCCTGCAGGGACAATAGTATTTTCCAAACATTTTCATGGTGCTCATCCAGTGAGTCTGACCAGATTATGGTATCATTGAGGTAGATGTGACAGAAACAACCAATATAATCCAATAAGGTGGCAGTAACCACAGCATTAATGAATTGCAGCTGTGCTTGATAAGCCCATAGGCCATCACAAGCCATTTATATAAGCCAAACAGCATTGCAAACATAGTCAGATGGATGTGATCCAGGTGCATAGGCATTTCAGAAAATACATTGGTGAGGTCAATGATGGCAAAGATTTGCCCCTTAGCACAGTCATGCAGAATGTCCTCCACCAATGGCAAGGGATGCTTATCTAGGATGGTGTTTGTGTTCAGTTCCCAATAGTCATTTATTCACTGTGGAGGCACTGTCAGGTCAGCTTTGGAAATGATGAATGCTGACAATGCAAAGGGAGATGAGGATGATCTAATATGGCCAGCTGTGAGGTGTTCATCAATCAATGCCTTCCATGCCTCATGGTATTTCCATGGGCACTGATATGAGCAAGTCTTGATTGTTTAGTTTGCATTTTGGAGACAGATTTCAGCCAAGACATCTCAAGGCAGGTTATCAACATGAGCAATAGGCTCAAAAATATCCTTGAATTCCATCTTCATCTGGTTAACCAGACCAGCCAAGGTCTCCACAAATGCAAGTTCCTCTATTTGAGACCTGACTGCAGTCACTACATTACTTCAGCAACTGGTTTGAACAGGCCCAGATGTTCCAATTTTTCCAGTCACAAGCCACACAAAAAGTTCAATTCCTTCACCATCTCTTTACAGTCATATAGTATTTGCTGGAATTTCTTTTTCATTGGAACAAAAATCTGAGGTGGAGAGTGGGAAATAGGAGTGGGATTCAGCAAATTGTAATTATTTTGTTTATCAATTACAGTATCCACAGACACATCAATTACAATAGAGTTTGATTTCTGAAATGGAAGTCTGAGTATCATAGGCACACAAAGGTTTAGCATGATCACAGTTTGTAATGTACATGAAGTCCATGACTGATCCAGTGGGGCAACAGCAAGTTTA